AGTGTTCTGCCAATCCTATTTAGGATGACTTGAGTGAACAACTTGTAGATGACAGACAATAGGCAGATGGGGCTATAGTTGCCAATGTCATGGATGTCTCCCTTCTTGAACAGTAGTACGGTCCTGCTGGTTTTCCATTGGGACGGAACCTTGCATTCAGACAGGTAGCATGTGAAAAGCCGAGCCCCAGCGTATTGATGAGTACTGACGGCAGGTTCTTCAGGTGTTCAGGTCTGACCTTGTCTGGGCCGGGTGCTGTTCGTTTCTTTACCGACGAAATGGCATGTCGGATTTCGGAAGGGAGAACGTTGGGAATGACATATCCATCCTGTGGAATTTTGTATGTCAGCAAGTGGACATGGCTATCGAAGAGATTTGAGTAGAAGTCATGGATAATCTTCTCCATTGCCATTCTGGAGGATATGATAGATCCATCAGGACGTCGGAGGGCAGTCATCTTGGTCTTGTAGTTGGCGAAGGACAGGCGGGCGTTACGAATACTTTTCCCGGCTTCTGCTGCATGTACCAGCACTTCTGCTCTTCTCTCTTTGAGGTCTTCCTTGATCGCATCTCTGCACTGCTTTGCGAGCTCGGATGTTAGCTTGTGGTTGCCTGAGGCATGTGCCAAACCACGTTGGCGAATAAGCTCAAGAGTTTTCGAAGACAGTCGGTTTTTTGTGGCTATCTCTCTCTTGGAGTTCCTTGCACAATCATGGAGGTGCTGAATCAGTTGATCGTTTTCCTCGTCAATGTTGTCAACAACGGAATCTTCCCATGTTGCAGCAATAGTGCCAAAGAGCTCCCACTTGGTGGTCATTCTGGGAGTTCTCTTCTGAAACTTTGCAGCCCTTTCTCCCCGCTCTGTGAAGTAGAATTTTGCATGAAGGAGACGCTGGTTTTATCCCGTTTGGAATTTTGGGACAACAGCAATATTGGTCAGGCAAAACTCTCGGTTGAATATGATGTGGTCTCTTTCATTGTGCAACCGTCCACCCACAGACTTCCATGTACAACGTCTAGATTTGGCCTTCTGGAACTGTGAGTTACCATGGATGGTCTTGGTCGACATGATGAACTCAGACAACCATGCGAGCAAGCCAGGTTCTGAAAAGGATTCAGCACCATCGACCATATTCACATGATAACCAAGCTCATTGAGGTTTCTTGAGAGTTCAAGATGCTGCTTTGTCTAAAGTTCATTGATTTAAAGAAGGTCTTTGATTCTGTTGAGACGGAAGCAGTCATTGAAGCCCTAGCCAATCAGGGCATTCAAACTCAATGCATCAGGATCCTCCATGAGCTGTATTACGGATTCACTACCAGGATCTCATCATTCTACAAAGAAATGATAATTGACGTCAAGAGAGGGGTTCTGCAGGTTGATACCATTTCACCAAAACTCTTCAGTGCCAGCCTCAAGAACATCATGCGACAACTGGAATGGGAAGGAATGGGAGTGAAGGTAGATGGTCGGCAACTGCACCACCTCCGCTTTGTTGATGACATCATTCTAATAACACCAAACATTAGCCAAGTGGCACAAATGCTGGCTGACTTTGACCGTGAGTGTGGAAAGGTCAGACTACAGCTGAATCTCAAGAAGACAATATTTATGAGAAACAGCCTTATTCCTGACGCTCCATTCACTCTCAATGGAACGACCATCTCTGAATGCAACAGTTATGTGAACCTAGGTAGAGAAGTCAACATGACAAATTACGTGGCACCTGAGTTGTGCAGGAGGAAGTGAGCAGCTTGGAATGCCTTCAAGAGTGTTGATGATATAGCTAAGAGCACGAAGAACCTCCAGCTCCGGGCAAATCTCTTCGATTACACTGTTCTTCCTGCATTAACATATGCCTCAGAGACCTGGGCACTACGCAAACAGGATGAGAAAGCTATTTGGGTCTCCCAAAGAGGAATCGAAAGAGCTATGCTCGGAGTGTCATGTTTCACTCAAATGAGAGAAAGAATCCAGAGTTCTGACCTCCGTCAATAGTCAAGAATCAGGGATGGGCTGACACATAATGAGATTTGGAGACAACCACTGGACTAGAGCTGTTACCAACTGGATTCCACAGGACGTCAAAGCCATCATGGCTGCCCACCTACCAGATGGTCAGACTTCTTCAAGAACATGAATGATTGGTTCGAGGCTCTTCGTGTTCCTAGAATGAACAGATGCCATTGGGCTACACTAGCATGCGACAGGGACAAATGGAGATGTTTCTGGTGCCTGCTTGAGCAAATCGATGATTAATGGCAAGTCAAGTAATCCTGTGATCAAGTTCTACCATTGCCTTACATATCTTTTTTTCCATTAACATTTTAATTACTTTTAGTTTGAAAAACAATTTTTAATTGGATCACTTTGTGGTACAGGTACAAAGCTTTCATGTTTGAGTTTCATTCATACAATGATTAAATACCCATCTCTCCACCAGTGTAGATTTTCTGCCACCAGTGTTCCCAGTATCCGTCCCCGCCATCCTATCCCTTCCCCTTCCTCTATGGAAGACAACTTCTCTTTCAATCTCTCTCTACTTATGGACATTATGGGTTGTAATATAGATAATGAGATGTAATCTATAACATGTTTGGATGTTATATGTTTAGTCCTTTTTCTACTTTTAGCACACATCTCCCATGGTGAATGATCCCTCCAACCATCACTCACTTTCTAACTCTGTCTTTCTGTCTTTGTTTCTATCTCTCCCTCTTCCTCTCCCGCTTTCCACAGCCTCTGAGCTCATCTTCATGGTCTGGAATAGCCAAGGGTGACAACCCCCTGTCTTACTGGACCCCTCCAGCCAGCTCACTTAGGGCTTCCTCCTCCCTCTAAGTTGCTCATTCTCTAGGTCCCCTACACTCTCAGGGAAACCTCATTCATGGGGACACAGGACAAACCTGGCTGTGTGGAAAATATTCTTTCCAAAAATAGAAAAATAACTAGGGTACTGTTACAAGAAAAATGTGAACATACAGTGATTGTCGAAATTTTATATTTTAACCATGGAAACATCAGGTTATTATACAGTACATTTATATAAGAACGTTGTGCATATTCTGTCGTGACCCATAGGGAAGTGACTGGACAAGGACCCTGCTAGGGTTAGGAAGAACTAATCTTGAGTGAGGACTGTAGGATCTATATGGCATAAAGATCTATTGTGAGATGTTCCCAGGATAGCCAACCTTTAAAGCTTAATATATCTCTTCCTGTGTCCATATAAAATAACAAGAAAGATTATTAAGAAGTAAATTTAAGATAACTGTTGAATGTTTATGAACTAAGGAAAGGGGAAATACACCCATTGGACGCAATTGAGCCCTTGAGCTGATCATCTGCCTACCAGGAGATCTTTGTCTTAGAAAAGCTTCCCCAGAAGGAAGTGTTTTCCTATGTTGATCATGCTATGCCACCTAAGTGTAATTACTAGCCCCAACCCTTGGGGATTATTCACTATAATAGGTCGTGGGAGTTTAGGTTTTTCTCTAAAATAGGCTATGGGAGTGGGCTGGGGGAGGAGGAATATGGGAATGAGTGAGACAAGAAGGAGGCAGAGGAAGACTTTATTGGAATAAATGGCAATTGATCACCAACCAGCCTGGCCCCTGTTCTTTTCTCCTTTTGTCCATCGCCATCAGCAATCCTTGGTGGGAAAGAGGCCTAACCACTGAACACATGGGGCAAAAGTGACACCATTATTTTGTAAATACACAACAGAGTGAAATCTTTTTTTTAATAAACAGGACTTGGCCTTAGTAGACAGATAATTATTAGACAAATAATTAAGATGATGAAAACCAACCTCTTCAAAATATGTTGAGAAAATGATTAGTTCATTGAAAAGAATGATTAGCGCCTTTATCTCATAATCTAATTAAAATTGATTAGAGACTTTGATATTAGGCCTTGATCTATAAGATAATCAAGGAAAATGTATGCAGAACACTCCTTGATACTAACTTTAGAGAATGTTCAATTGTCTAAAGAAAACTAAAACAAATAATTAAATAGAATTACATAAAGATGAAAAGTGCCTGGACTGTGAAAGAAAATTGTAGCACTGTCGTCCCATTGTTCATCAATTTCCTCCAGCGGGCACCAGTAACATCTCCATTGTGAGACGTGTTGTTACTGTTTTTGGCATATTGAATACACCACAGGGATCTTGCCAGGCTTTGTCGTGCAAGTGGGATACTCTCAGTAGCTTGCCAGGCTCTCCGAGAGGGGCAGAGGAATAGAACCCGGGTTGGCGGCATACAAGGCAAGGGCACTATCCGCTGTGCTATCACACCAGCGATAGAAAATTCAGGGAAAAAAATGCATATTAGTGAGATTAGTGAGAGGGAGAAAGTATTTGCAAGCTAGACAGCTGGCAGTGGATTAAAGGCCATAAAAGTAAAACACTCACAAAACTTATGTACACACAGATACAAAAATCAACCCCATTTTCCAAGAAGACATGCAGCTTGTCAAAGGGCAGCCTAAATTAGGAAGAGGGATATTAGTCTCAACTACCAGAAAAGGAGATCATTTTACAATATTTATTCCAAATAAATTGTGTTAGGCCATGACTGTTTTTACAACCTCAAAAACTGCAAGGCAGGTTACTTAAGAGGTAAAAGAAGACATGGAATCCCATAAAATAGAGGTAAGACAGTTGTTGGGGAAACTTAGAAATAAGAATCACCACTGTAGAATTCTCCTCACAAATAGGCTAAGCTTCACAGAATAGAAATTCAATGTAGAGAGAAGAGAAAGAAATTAGAGAGAAACAATAGTTCTAATGGACTTTTCCAGTAAGTAGAGAGATTCATGTTGTCATAGACATCAATAAGCATGGGAAAAGCCTTCATATGTATTCTTTCTCCTCCTCTGCTCTCACTTTTGCACACAGTATCTCCTTTTTTTCCCTCAAAAGAAGAATTTTTTTTCTGTTTTGTAAATTTTTTTAGGAAAATGACTCTGCATGATTGTTTTTCCATATACTAACGTAAGCTTAGGATTCAGAGTTCCACTAAATTTAAGAGAATGTGAGATATTTTATTGGGTTAAATATTAAAATCGTAACTTCTACTGTCCAACATTGTAGTATCATATTTTATTTTCATATTTCATGGTTTTGTGAATATAGTACAGATTACCTCTCCCTCTCTAGGTCACAGTCCTCAGATACACAGTGAGAAGAGCATAATTAATCAGTATTTTTTTCAGAAAGTTGAAAGTTTATTGGAAAGTAGAAGAAGCAAGTTCCCATGTGGTGACTAACTTAGTATAGGACTAAGTTGAATAAATCAGTTTTGATGTGTTATTCAGAAAATTAATAGTGTTATTAAGAGAAGAAAGTCATACTATGCAGCTGTTAGAAAAGATGAAGTCATAAAATTTGCATGTAGGTGGATCAACATGGAAAGTATCAAGTTAAGTGAAATGAGTCAGAAAGTGTGGGACAAACATAGAAAGATTGCACTCATTTGTGTAATATAAAGTAAAGAATGGGATACTAACACCCAAGAATAGTAGAGATAAGTACCAGGAGGATTACTCCACAGCGTAGAAGCCAGCCTCACATGCTGGAGAAAAAGCAGCTCATATAGAGAAGGAACCACCAAATAAAGGGTGCTAGGAGGGCCTGCTCAGAATGGGAGATGTGGGCTGAAAGTAGAATATAGACTGAACATGATGGCCACTCAATACCTATATTGCAAACCACAACACAGAAAAAGAGAGAGAGAGCAAAAGGGAATGCCCTGCCACAGAGGCGGGTTGGGTGGAGGCAACAGGGTGGGGTGGTGGGAGGGATGTTGGGACCAATGGTGGTGGAAAATGGGTACTGGTGGAGGGATGGTTACTTTCCCATTGTATGACTGAAACGTGAGTATGAAAGTTTTTAACTCTGTAACTGTACCTTACAGTGATTCACTAATAAAAAATTTTCAAAAAAAGAGAAGAAAGTCATAGTTTCTTAAAAGAACTTAGAACATTTCTTACACATGAAGAACACTTCTATAAAAAAGTTATTTATTGCTATAAGTGTTATAATTATTTGAATATTATTAAGAAACTTTGATTAAGCTATCGCAATTAGAAAGTATTTTCTCCAGGATCTGGAGCACTAGTATAACAGGTAGTGTACTTGCCTTGTATGTAGCCCACCCCATGAAAAAACAAATTAATAAACTCAATTTAACTGAGCATTCAAAAGAAGTTATCAAGAAGGTTTCAAATCTTGGAATGGAACAAATGCATTCCTTTGCTGATAGATACTAAGTATACACAAAAATGTAAAGAAACTCTAATTTTATTGCAATTTACAAAAGTAGTTAAGCTTGGTGAGTGAATTCAAGGTCAATACATAAAAACTAAAGTCATTGTCAATTATTGACACAAAAGCAGACTAATTTTAATGTACTGAAAACATGTATCACTGATGAGAAATTTATGTTTTCTTTGCTTTGGGTTCATTGTTTTGCTGGGCTTTAACATTAGGGATTGAATACAGGACCACGTACTGAAGGTAGGGTATATGTTTTACAGCTGAGATGTTATTGATGAGAACAGTAATTGAAAATTGAAATCTCTTCAAGATAGAATCCTGTGACCATTGGAAGACATTATGTATCTAAGAAAGAATTTTCCCCTATTTGATTTCTAGATTCATGGAGCGATAGCACAGCGGTAGGGCATTTGCCTTGACCCTAGCCAGCCCGACCGAGGCAGGTTCGATACCTCTGCCCCTCTCGGAGAACCTGGCAAGCTACTGAGAGTATCTCACCCGCGGCAAAGCCTGGCAAGCTACCCATGACACATTCAATATGCCAAAGTATTCAATATGCCAAACCCAGTAACAACAAGTTTCACGATGGAGACATTACTGGGCCGCTTGAGCTAATTGATGAACAACGGGAGGACAGTGTTTTGTTTTGTTTGCATTTCAAACCAAAAGTTCAGAATGCATGTTTCAGTGAGAAACTGAATATAGAACGTGCACAAATATACAAAGTTCTTACAGTAACCCCCAATCTGGACAGAGGGAGAAAGCTAGATTTCTGATATAAAATTGAGTCTGATATTAACAGCATGAACCGTTTAACTCAGCAGATTAAAAACTCCCACACCTATATTCTCATCTAATTACAGACAAGATGTTGCTAAAATTTACTGAGAAAAAACCAATATAATTCAATTAGTGATACTAGTACAATGACTTTTCAGTAAATAAAATGAACAAAGATTCTACAGTCCACCATAGCAAACACTATCTTCAAATGACTTACAAGATGTAAATGATAAGCAGAAAATACTTTAAAAATGTCAAAATCTAATTGTTATAATTAATACTTTAATAGAATATTCTTCTTGTGGTTATATTTTGTATACATAAGTCAATTTTATAAGGTGGCATTGATGTATGTGATTTGAAGCCCAAGGAATTTGGAAAGCATCAATAGAATTTCAAATAACAAATGACTGCTGATTACAGGGAGGTCTAATCAGTTTGTAAACATCATGTAATATCTAAGAGTACAGCAGAACTCTTTGAAAATGAACAAGTCTCATACGCACATTTTCACAGCATCTTCACATACAAATCATGAGTTATTAACCTGACTGGTTTTAAATTAACAAAATTTCATTTATATTACTCTCAAAATTCAATGAGGGAACCTTAATCTTTTATTTTTACAAAGATTATTTTAGGTATTTTTGACATTGCTCCAACAGTATATGAACAAAACTTTCACATTCAACTGTTTCCTATAATCTATTTTTGATTTATTAAAATTTCCTGATTGAATTTGTCTCATGATTAGAATCAATAGAATTTGAAAATCCCTCCCAATGAATAATAAAGAAAGGTCATCAATCCAAATATGCTTTATTTCTCAAAAAAATCTTTCTTACTGATAACTTTACAGCTTTGTTTCTCAGGCTGTATATTATTGGATTGAAAGATGGTGGAACTACTGTATACATTATAGTGAGCAAAATGTCAGATACAGTCGGAGTATCTGAATGAGATTTTAAGTACTCAAAGGCACATGTAGAAATAAATAATAAGACAACAACTAGGTGGGGAAGACAGGTGGAAAAGACCTTAGCTCTGCCCTTTGCAGATGGCATCCTCAGTACAGAAGAAAATATGTGCACGTAAGAGTATCCTATGAAGATGACACAGAAAAATGCCGCCAAAGTCATGAAGTCAGAGAAACCAAGCTCATAGATGTAGTCATTAGAACAGGAGAGTTTTAGGATCTGGGGAACATCACAGAAGAACTGGTGAATGATAGGGGGACCACAGAAGTGGATGGAGAAAGTAGCTACCGTATGTATGACTCCACAGATGGTCCCACTGACCCAGACGCCGATGATCCCATGGACACAGGTTCTGATGTTCATGATGACGTCATAGCGCAGGGGAAGGCAGATGGCCACATAGCGGTCATAGGACATAAGCGTGAGCATGGCCGTCTCAGCAACAGCACAGAGGTTGAAGATAAAGCACTGAAGAACGCATTCCCAGAAGGAAATGTTTCCTCTATGCAAGAAAGAGTTGTAAATGAATCTTGGAACAGTCACAGAAATATAGCAGATATCCAGAAAGGAGAGATGCTTCAGGAAGAAATACATGGGGGACTGGAGACTGTCATCCAGGGAAGTGATGGTGATGATGATCATGTTGCCAGCTAACGCCAACAAGTATAAGACCAAGAACAGAGAAGCATAGAAGATTTGTAAGTCAGGCTTGGGAGAAAACCCTATGAGGAGAAACCCACTTGTCGTGAAATTAGCCATAGTCTTCATTAACTTATTATGGATGTTGGTTGCAAATCACAGTTCCTTCATGATTTCAATAATCCCTAAATTCTGTAGAATTATAAAACAATGGTAAATTAAAAAAACAGTTAATTAAAAGTCAACTATTTTTCTTCATAAATATAAAAATGTTAATGTTTTCGTGCCTAACAATAATGATGATGAAAAAGCAGACTATGTATTACCAATTAATCCACAATCATCAATTACCCCAAATCTTTTAATTAATCTGATGTTATATGTTTCTTAGTTGAAAATGCCTAAAGAGAAGTTTTGAAGTCTATTCTAAAAAGTAAAATTATTCTGTACAATTAAATTTTGTTTACATATACTTTGTATCACTTATAATTGTTTATAAAATAAGAGAACTAAGAAATTCTTAATTTTGTATTTGATATACTAAGTGGGCTGGAGCGATAGCACAGCGGGTAGGGCGTTCGCCTTACAAGCGGCCAACATGGCCAACCCGAGTTCGATTCCTCCGCCCCTCTCGGAGAGCCCGGCAAGCTACCGAGAGTTTTCGAGATGCCAGACACAGTAACAACAAAGTCTCCAATGGAGACGTTACTGGGCCCGCTCGAGCAAATCGACGATCAACGGGAGGGCCTTTATTTTTATATGCTAAGTAATTTTGTACATAATATATTCATAATAATTCAACATATACTATTTTGTCAGGAAAGTAATCTAAAGTATATAATAACATGGTGAAGTTTGTGCATATACTCTGAGAAAGATCATAGTATTTAACAGAAAAAAGTGCTCTAAATTAAAATAAGTCAGTTTACACCTAAATAGCACCTTCAGGTAATTAGTGAATAATTCATGTTTAAGAAAATTTGTTAAGCGCCTTGGATCTTTCACAGACGTGGAGCACTGGGCGTACTCACCCAGGACTGATGTGCTGAGTTCAATTCTCTGCATGGCTTAAAGAAAAGAGAAAAAAATCATTCTAAATTATTACAGTAGTAAATACAAACAAATCCTAAACTTAAATTAACATAATTTTTAGGATGTCTAAAAATGATGATTAAAAGAACCCAACGATATTATACCTAAGATATCAAAATGCATAAATTGATCATACAGAAACAAACACTAAAATATCAGAAGGAAATAATACCATAACAAGCAATTAGTCCTGTGTAGGCAATATATGATTATGTGTATGTTGATTAATAATAGACTTTCACCAAAACTAGGAGACACAGAAAAAAAACTGATCCTGAGTTAGAAAAATTCCTAGGATGGGACTGTACTGATTTAAGATTAAGATAATATAGTTTCCTTACATTTGTAATATTGTAAATAAACATATTGGAAAAGCAATGAAGTCTGAACTGGATAATGACAGCATCTCCCAGAACTTAAAAACACAGCACAGAGCATAACGAATTTGCAATTTCTGGAAATCAACTCACTCTCATTTTTTAATTTTGTGTGTGTATGTTCCACAGGAGTCATAAGACAAGAGTTTAATTAAACTAAGTATTACCAATTAATCCACAATCATCAATTGCGGAACATATAGTCATAAGACATTTGATATAGATACTTGTACAAAAAAGCCTTTGAAGATAATGCATCATGACATCAAAATGACACATTGTTCATTTAGGCATTCTTTTCATGTTTTTTAAACTCATCACGTCAATTTTTGTATCCTCCAGAAATTTCTCCCATATATATTTGGAAGCATATTGCATAATTTTCTTGATGAAAGACAACAAAAATAATCTATATACATGAAAAAATTGCACAATTATCCCAAGATCTTATGCCTGATCAGTAATTCACATGAAGATTAATGAGAAAATGTAATGAAAAGGAACTCACTGTCTTAAGATAGAACCAATTTGGAAAGGTGGCACTAATTTATGCAAAATCACAATCCAACTTCCACTTGGCGCATGCCTCTGTATTCCTGAACTTGCAGAAAATGCTTACATTAAATAATTTTTTAATCCCATGACTACCAGAAGTAAATAGATTGTCTGAGAAAATTAAAGTTGATGAATAAAGATGTATTTTTGAACTATTTGAGTTCAAGAGAAGGTAAAATGCATTTAAATCTCCAAAATTTAGTAGATTAAATTTATTAATTGGATGCATTGATTAAACATATTAAATTTTATATATTATAATTAAAGTTTTTACATTCAAATGTTAAAAAATAAGTGTATTGGGGGCCAGCACAACGCAGTGATAGTTTGGATGCCTGCTATTAACCCCTTAGCTGTCATCCATTGGTCATTCTTTTCTTGGGTGAAATTACAAAATGCCTCTAGCTATCAATTTTCAATATGAATCCTGATATTTAATGTTTACTTAAATCAATATTTTGCAAAGAAGACAACAAAGTATGAAATCTAGATGGCACTGGTAGCTTGGTTGCCACTGGGAGCAAGTCCTACCTTAGAGACATTCCACTGTACAACACACTCTGTCTTTCTGAAAATTCGAACTCACCAGAGTACGGTCAGGAGCCTCTTCCCTCAACATAAGGACAAGCATCAGTGTGTGTAATTCGCACTTAGTGAAGATTTTATAATGAACCGACCTCAGAAAGCTATCTTCTACAGAGAGAAAAATATGAGTTCTTTTCAGTCCTCCTTGGCCCCTAGAGGTTTCACCATGGAGTTGTCAGGAGCAGAGCTTCTGGCCTCTGGACATTTAGAACTCTTTATAAATTCCCTTGGGTGAAAACTTGAAATTGTATGGAGTTTTCCTACAAAATACTTTGCTGGAGTTGATTTAATGACCATAGTAAGTTATGTGAGTTTTCATAATTTATCTGTGCTATAGTGAAACTTATTTCAAAACCCAAATTTGAATTTTTGATATGGAAATATCCAACAGTAATTGAAACAATTTAAGTGGCTATTGTGGGAAATCACTCTGTAACTGAATGCAGTAAGATATGTGCAATGTCCTGGGTTAAACAAACCTACAGAAAACAGTGTCCTTATGGTTTCTATAGAAAAAATATTAGAGGGAATTTGACACTAGTGGTGGAACTGGTGTTAAAATATTACAAACATAAAACTATCAATAACTTTGGGGGCTGGAGCAATAGCATAGAGAGTAGGGCATTTGTCTTGCACGAGGCCAACCCAGGTTCGATTCCCAGCATCCTTTTTGTCCTCTGAGCACCACCAGGAGTATTTCCTGAGTGCAGAGCCAGGAGTAACCCCTGTGCATCGCCAGGTGTGACCCCAAAAGCAAGCAAACAAACAAACAAAAAACCCTATCAATAACTTTGTAAATCACAGTTTTTAAGTTAAACAAAAACTTTACAATAAAGAAATGCATTTGTTCAGGTAATATGCTACATGAAATGACATCTAAATTCTGAGCCTGAAAAGTGATGGACCTATAGTAATATTAAACTTAGAAATACAATAATCACAAAATTCAGTTTCACTTTGTTGAGTGGTGATGCATAAAAGTAACATATAGTCATAAACACATAATTTTGCATTAATAATTATGAAAAGAAGTAAAAATTATCAGGCATTAATTAATATAAAATCAATTATATATGTGCATATATGAATCTGTAGATTGTTGAGATACAGCCTTTTCCGCCTAATTATTTGTTCTTTTTGAAAGATTATTCGCACTGTAGCACTATCCTCCTTTTGTTCATTGATTTTTTTTTTGCTGTTTTTTTCTTTTTTTATTAGTGAGACATATGAGGTACAGTATTTAATGAGAAACAGCCTTGTTCCTGACGCCCCATTCGCTCTCAATGGAACGACCATCTCCGAATGCAACAGCTATGTGTACCTAGGTCGAGAGGTCAACATGACAAATGACCTGGCACCCGAGCTGCGCAGGAGGAAGAGAGCGGCTTGGAACGCCTTCAAGAACGTCGAAGAAATAGCTAAGAGGACGAAGAACCTCCGGCTCCGGGCACATCTCTTTGATTCCACTGTTCTTCCTGCATTAACATATGCCTCAGAGACCTGGGCCCTACGCAAACAAGATGAGAACGCCATTCAGGTCTCCCAAAGAAGAATAGAAAGAGCTATGCTTGGAATATCACGTTTCACTCAAATGAGAGAACGAATCCGGAGTTCTGACATCCGTCGACGATCAAGGATCAGGGACGCTGTCTCATTTGCCAAGGTGTCGAAAATCAGATGGGCTGGTCACGTAATGAGATTTAAAGACGACCGTTGGACTAGAGCTGTTACTGATTGGATTCCACGGGATGTCAAGAGACCGCGTGGCCGCCCACCTACCAGATGGTCAGACTTCTTTGTCAAGGTCATGAACGATCGGTTTGAGGCCCTCCATGTTCCCGGAGCGAAGAGATGCCATTGGGCTACACTAGCACGCGACAGGGACAAATGGAGACGTTACTGGCGCCCGCTCGAGCAAATCGACGACTAACGGGAAGTTAAGTGATTAAGTGATAAGTGATGAGGTACAGTTGTAGACTTACACATTTTTGTGCTTGGGTTTCAGTTACACAATGATCAAGCGCCCATCCCTCCACCAGTGCCCACTTCCCACCACCACGGATTCCAGCATCCCTCCCACCCCCCATACCTCCCATCTCAACCTGCCTCTGTGGCAGGGCATTCCCTTATGTTCTCTCTTATTGGGTGTTGTGGTTTGCAAAAGAGGCAATGGGTGACAATAAAAATGTTTGGTCTATAGTCTACTTTCAGCATGCTTCTCCCATCCTGGGAGGATCCTCCCAACACATTTATTTGGTCTTCACTTCTCTATCTGAGCTCCCTTTTCCCCTAGGGTGTGTAATTGGCCTCCAAGCCATGGAATAAAATTCCTGGTACTAATCTCGGCCATTCTTGAGTATTAGTCTCCTATTTGTTACTTTATGTTCTCCAGATGAATGCAATCTTTCTATGTCTATCCCTTTCTTTCTGACTCATTTCGCTTAACATGATAGTAACCATGTAGCACGACTTGTATGTAAATTTCATGATTTTGTCTTTTATAACAGCTAC